CCAGGTGCTGGAGGATGCACAAGGCCCTCGCCCAGGCACTGGAGGATGCAGAGGGTCCCCAACCAGGCACTGGAGAAGGGCTGACAATCAAGTGACCATGAGGGAAGTTGGTGATGTTTCTTCCTGGAACATCTAGTACCTAAAGAAATGGCCCACAACTTAGCACTTACTTTCTCGATGTTTGGCTTTCAGCCTTAGACACCCATGCAGGATGGTACTCTTGTTTAGTAGATAAGTTCTGAAACAGGAGGAGTTACACTTCTGTGGATTTCTTTAGCAAAAGGAGATGCGGAGAAAGCACCAGAAGCTTAAAGGGTAGCCTATTTCGATTTGCTTTTAGGGCACTCTGGCAGGCTCTCGGTTCAAGTATGACTTAAGGGTCTGCCTCACCCCCTCCGCTTCTCACCCTGTGCATCTCACGCGGTTGACAGGAGGCCTGCAGCCTGCGCCTCCCACGCTGCTCATGTGCGCAGCTCCGCCCCCTGGACATTGTCCTGTGTCAAGACCTTCTGAAAGCACCTCTGCTGTGCGATTTTCCCTGGGCTTAATAAGGCTCACATCCCACACACCTTCCAGCTGAAAACCACTGCCTAATTTCTCTTTTTCTGCCCACCAGGCAATGGAGAAAAGCTGATAATCATGTTTTATGTCAAACCTCCCACTTCCTCAATGGTTACAAATTTCTCATTCCTTTTCCTCCTCTAAGCAAGAGCCACCGTTAACCCTTCTTTCTATAGCTTATTCCCTGCTGTTTGCTTTCGCATGCTGAGTCCTCATCGCCACATCTGTACCACTGCTGCCTCGTGAATCCTGGGCCCGTGAAATGGCGTAGTTGAGTTCATCCTTGTGGATTTCCATGTGGCATTCCTGTTCCCACATCTTGCTAAGCTTGGATTTTGAGACCTCTGGTGGGGACCTAGGTCATGCTTGTGTTTCCAGAGAAATAGCACTCTGCTGTGGGCGAGCCCCCTGCAGCGTCTCCTGACGCAGCTTGGTGGGGCCTGTGTGGCACCCGTCCTGAAGCAGCCGTCCTTCCTCAGTGCCCAGCTCTGTAAGTCTCCCGATTTCCATGGAGACGTCTCCGGTGCATCCGGTTCAGTCCGGTTCAGTCCTGCCCGCACCTCTGCCAAGTGTTATCTGAGGGCACCTCCTGCCGTGCGCTGTCTCGCTCAGAGAGCACACTTCGTACGTCCTCCAAGACAACCGAGTCAGCACCTGTGAGGCCATGCCTGCGCTCCCAGCTATGTCCCGGCCAGCTGTAGTGACTAACTCCGCCTCGCAGCCATCCCACCGCCCAGTAAGGCAGTCCTCGCCGTCACCGCACCTGCTTTTTGGTAGAAATACTACATAGCCTAAATCAGAACCTTAGGTGCATTTTTCTTTTTGTTCATTTGTGTTTCAACCACCTATTTCCTAAGAACTTAGAAAGCACATCTCAGCAGGTCAAATGGAACTTTCTGCAAAGAAATTTACAATTTTAGAAACAGATGTTGAGCTCCTGTAAACAGGAGGGGCCAGGAAAAGCTTATTTCTCGCGTGTCTGCTTAAGCAAAGCCCTGGAGGCCTTGCCGTAGTCCTGCAGTGTATGGCCAGTAAAGCCCACGTGCTTAGGAATCCCCTCATCTCTGTTCTCTCTTTGCCAAATTGATTTCTTTCAAAGCGCTTCACTACTTCTTCTTCTTCTTCTTCTTCTTCTTCTTCTTCTTCTTCTTCTTCTTCTTCTTCTTCTTCTTCTTCTTTTTTGTATTTTATTTTAATCTGAGGGAATCAAATGGAAACCAAACTTTCTGAGAAGGAAGCATCGGTGACCACTGCTCTCTGGCTTCAGTCTCCTTAGGCAATATGGGGAGACGGGCGCAGAGGAGAACGTGAGCTCAAGGGACCGGTGCTGTTAACGGAGCACTTGGCTCAGAGTTGACCATGCTGGTGTCTCTCAAGAAAGGCACAGCGCAGGACACACTGGGGGAGGGCACAGGGTGGCGCGACCTCCCCGGCCTCATCCCAGGGCCAAGACGGCAGCGAGGCGAGGTCCACGCTCCTCACTGCCCCTGGCTCAGGCAGTCCTGCTGGCCACCTGCGCTTATCTGTCAGCTCAGGATGACTTTTCATTTCCTAATGGACGAGCAAATCAGAATCTGAACCTTTCCTGTTGTGAAGTTAAATGACAAAAGATTCCTGCTCCTGCCCAGAGCTCGGTCTTGGGGAAACACTGCCTGATCGTTTGCTTTTGCGCTTCCTGTGGCTACCGTCAGCGGCTGATTTGAGTATCTTCGGCCAAGACGATGGCTTTCCAACTGGAAAATATTTGCTCCCTAGTCCTTTATAAAAGATTTTTATGACCCAAACAATGTAGAAAAGCTTTTAAACTCTGGTCAAATGTTTCAAAGGACAGCACAGGCAACAGACACCCTGAGTTCTGCATCTCCCATCCCCCATGAAGCAGGGGCGGGGTTAGGGCCACTGGAGTGACAGTGCTGCCAAGACCCCCAATATGTAGTTGAACAACCACAGTATTCTCTCTTCTCTGTCACCCATTTCCTCTTTCTCCACATTGCGAATGAATAAAGACCAATGTGAGAGTAAGAAGACCCGGGTAAACATTTTTGACCATTAAATACTCCTTGAAAGGTTTTTAATAAGAACTTCTCCACATTACTTATGCATATCGTTAAACTGTAAGTTGACTGCTTGGGGTTCTGTGTCATTAATTACAAGCACACAAAAGAAGCCCAGGAAGCATCATACCTAGCACTCCAGGATCTGTTCCGATGTGAAAAGCAGTTGCCACACAGGATGGAAAATTAGCCCTGCTTGGGACTTGATCCGCTCTGAAAGCAGAAAGTAGAAATCACTTGCATTGAGCCACTCGGTCCTCACCAAGAGATGTCTGCCAGGACTCCAGAGTGTCCTGCTACATCCCAAGTAGAAAAGCTAAGTGTCAGTCTCATAAGGGTATTTATACGCTTGTGACACTGAGAGGACCCGATCTAAACTTCAGTTCTCGGGACGAAGGCGGTAGTATTGCCACCTGGCAACCTGATGATCCCCTGAAAGGATCAGAATCCTAGCTGTACAAGAGGTACGGAGACTACTGCTGAGTGCAGGTGTCAGTGACATTCTACACGGTGCTACAGAAGGCTGACCACGTCCTGACTTCTGAGGACAAATGGTATTTCTGAATTCCGCTATCATGCTCTTGGCATTCTTATAAAAACACTGCAAAAATTACAGTAAGCAACTAACTGCAGTTTTGCTTATCTTCCTGTTTCAGACGAAAGTAGGTGGGACGAACCACGGTGGAGGCAATTTTGAGGAGGTCCTCAGCTCCACAGCCCAGGCCAGCGCGCAGAGCACCTCGGGAGGCCCCCGGCAGGCGGAGGATGAGGGGCTGCAGTGCTAGACCCCTGCCTCGCAGCCTGCTGGTCACCGCCCAGCCATCTGCCCCTGCATCTCCAGACGCGAAGACCAAAATCCCTCTGACCGAGGCCCAGGGCTCGAAGTTCTTAACTAAACATCTGCCACCCCATGCTCAGTCTGAAAGCCTGATACATGATTTCCACTTAATTTGTGCTGATAACAGACCACGTGACCATCACTCACAGTATTCATAGACTGTCATCTTTCCAGTGTCCCAACAGAGCAGGTACCCAGTTGGTTATAACCCTCATCTCTGTCACCCAAGGTATGTTTCCCCGACATGCAGCAATGTCTGCTTCTGGTTCCGCTCAGTGCCTTTCTGACATGCATGTCCCAGAGGCTGAGCGCAGTCCCTGCAGGGAGAGCTTCACATGGCAGCTTCTCCAAAAGGACAGCACACGCAAGCTCCCTCAAGCTGCTTGTTATCTGCTTCAGATCAAACATGTGTTTATTTAAATGATTAAAATAACTGGTTTTAATGAAGGCTGAATCCTTGGTTTCTTCAAGTCTCCAGGCCTGTGCCTAAACTTAAAAGTTGATAGATAGGATTCAACAGATGCTACCTGAAATCAGCTTCTAACTTAGAACAAAACAAAGGATATGAAAATAATGATGAGCTCAGCTACCCTAAGGTGCCAAATTCATTTCCAATTTTAATACTCTCTCCAACTTACATAGAGTAGCAGCCATTCAGGTAAGGGATACCTGAAGTGGGAATTTAGATTATCAACTTTAGGTATCAACTTTAGGTACCAACTTGCAAATTGTTCTTATGTATGAAATTATTTTTCTTAATATTGATATTTCTATACTGTGTGTGTGTGTGTGTGTGTGTGTGTGTGTGTGTGT